CATCTTATAAAATTTTCCTTAAAGTCTAAATGGTACTTTTCCATCAAACAATAGACCCGATACATTCCTCCATTTCATCCATCCAACTTGAATTATACTAATAACATTACCATCCATATAACTATCACTTTGAACAATAGACCCAAAATATCTAAATTTTTCACTCCTTATAATTACTTGATCCCCCATTGTTACAATCACACTACTAGATCTACTACAACTAGTTCATGCATTCAGTTATAGATCTACTCAAACAAAAGTCTTTATATTCTAAAGTTAGCTTCTATATTCATGTTTTTCTTGGACTCTCTCAGGTCTTATTAACAAGAAGAATATAATAAAATAATTGCTTAAAGATGAAAGCAACTAAGAATACTGATAATGCTTATATGAGAAATATATAACAGGAATTTTGGTAAAAAAATGTTCTAGAATATCATAATAAATAATAGTAAAATTTTAGGTCTCGGAAGATATCTACTAAACTTTAGGGAGTTACAAGTTGCTTGGTTAATAAATGTTTAGAGAACAAGCATTTATGAATGAGGATGATGCCAAGTGATTGGAGAAGTAATATTTTGAAATATGTTTGGGTAAACAAATACAATGTTCAACATTATGGTAATTATAAAAGAATCAAACAATGAGTCACACAACAGCGCCATGGAAGAAACCAATGAATAAAAAGTTAGAAAAATTATGTTAATATCATTCATGCATTGAGGATTCACTGTAGAAATGAATTTTGTATTAAATCAACTAATGGGTAAGCTAAGAGAGCATAAAAATTAACTTCATTTTAATTTTTATTGATCTCGTGAAGGCATATAATAAGTTATTATGAGAATTGATTTGGCATGTATTGAAGGAAAAAAAAATTGTATAGAAAGAATGTTGAATTTTGTAAGATATGACCAATGGAGCATTTACTAGTATTAAAATTAGTTGTGAAATGACCAAGTAGTTTTCAATTATAGGAATCAAAACAAAGATTAGCATTGGCTCCATATTTTCTCATATTGAGTATGAAGGTGCTTACAATAATTATTCAAAGCGAGTTTTCTTGGTGCATGCTTTTGTGAATGATATTGTTATGATTTGTGAGAAATATTTTGAAATAAATGAAAATTAAAATAATGAAGAAAGAATTTAAAAGATAATGCTATTAAGATTATTAGAACATGCAATTAGATTATAATATATGACCGTTTGATGCTAACCATTTCGACTGCAAATAAGCAATGCTTTGTTCCAATATATTTTGGTTTCTTGGGTCTATTATATAGAAAAATAAGGATCTAGATCAATTATTTCTTCAAAAATTCTGTTTGGGTGGTTAAAACAAAGAGCAATCCCAAGTTTTTGATTTGATAAGAGATTACTAATGAGACTTGAAGTTAATTTTTTAGTTGCAATTAATCCAATTATGTTTTATGCATGTAATTTTTAGGCAATAATACTATTGCTCGTATCCATTTTGTTTGTGGAGAAAATAAAGATTTTATGATGGATGCATGTTAAAGTATTAAAAGAATAAATTTACAAGATTATATTGATGGGATGTTGTTTTGATTATTTGATTATGTACAATGAAGGATAGAAAATTTACCCTTAGACTGCTAAAAAAGATTAACATCAAAGGGTTTGGGCGAAAAATGAGTATACCTACAGATAATTGTTTTTCAAATGGGTTTTACACATTGCTGGTTTTTCGCTGCTGTCGGTCAACTTTTTGATAGATTTGAAAATATGGTATATGAAAATAATTTTTGAAATTTAATTTAAGTATAAGAGGTATATAGTTTAGGTGTTGAAAGTAGAATGTTCTAATTTTTTTGAAAAATGAGACCAAGTGGATCTCATCATCCAATAGTTCCAATAGTTTGCATAATCGTGTAGTTTGCATAATCGTGTCCGATACCGCGAATACTACACCCTCCCGAAAGATAAGTGTAGACCTCGGTGATAGACCTGCAAACTAAAACTAAGAGATTTGTGACATCCGTTTGGTATGCGAACTTTTTTATGTATGACCGACAAGTTCCCCTATCTAATACAAAAATTAATTAAGGTTTATTTTACCTGAGTTTCAAGTTTTCTATAAAGGCAAACACCTATAGTTAATTACATCTCAAATGACTGGGGTCACTTGAGAAAACTCTCGATAATGATCAGAGGTATTAGTCTTCAAGATTTCAAAGTTTAGGTTTCATTGTAGAACGTAGAAAAACAAGGGAGTGACTCAAATAGGAACAATTATTTCAGGAGTCTAAAGAAAAGAAAAGGTAGGGGATGTCATAGATCTTGAGGAGAGCCCTCAATGACTTCCCAAACTATCCTACTGTGTGGCTGCATTTTTAGAGATAATGTTATTCAATTATTCAATCCTGTCAATTTTATTATTTGAGACTTACATTCGCATAATACCCGATTATGCAAATAACCCGCAGAGATAAGAGGGTTTACGTTGTGTCACACGACATTAAGGCGAGTTAGGACTTACTGCACAACAGAGTTGTGCAAGAGCCTAAAAAGGGAGTGTGAGGATTTACGTCGCGCTAGGCGAGCTACCTCAAAATCCTATGAGTTGTTATTATGCTAGGAAGAGATAATGCTGAAGAAGATCTTCTTGTTGCTCGGTCTGAATTCCTCGCCGTGCTGCCCATAAAGTTGGCTCCAAGCTCCTGTCGTCGCGAAGACTCCAGGGTTTAAGTGTTTGAGATTAGTAGTTTATGTTTCATAGTTTTGGTGTCAGTTCTGGTTTTGCATGCAGAGTAGTCAAATTACAGGTAAATAAAAGGTACTTGAAAGGCAAAATGCAGTAAAGTAAAATGCTGTAGATAAACTGTAAAAGCGTACCTGGGCATCAGCTATTGTTGTGCGATTAATATTGTGATCATAGTATGATTTGCAACATATTTAAACATACTTGCAAGAAAAATAAATAAGGCAAGAAAACCCCACAAGAAAGTTATAAAAACGAGTAGTAGAAATCACGAGCAAAGGAAACCTGTAACCACATATGACAGCTCAGAACTAGATATAAGACATTGGTAAAAGTGGGGGCTCAGAGTTGGGCTGTGTGCTTACTGATCTCGAGTAAGAGTTGCCAACTCGACAATCTACAGGAGGTAGTTCTTAACCTCAATCCAAATGACTAACCATGAACTTTTATAAATTTTCATAGAAAAATTATTTGATTTTCACGCAAAAGCTGTTGTTTAAGTTTTTTTTATGCAGAGTTCTTTTTAACATGCAAAAGGGATTTTGTTTTAATTTTATAAATATTTTTATAAAGCCGTGTAGTCCACAGGTTAGTCACTCTAATCGTGCTATACTACTGACAACCTAAGAGCGTTGGGGGTAACAATCGCACCAAGGGTCAGCAAATAGTATTATTGGTCCTTTCCTCTCCCTTATTGAAGATCCTTGAGGTAGGAGATACTATTCTAAAAAAAAAATCTCACTTTGCATCCCTCGTTTAAGCACGCATAAGCAATGTCGTCATCGCCCTCGCCACCTAGACCCTAAACTTATCCTAGTCTGATGATCCATATGTGACGTTAACAAATTTCCCCAATTGCCAGGAGGATTTTAGTGTAATATTCAAGCTCAAATCCCGGTGCACTGGGTTTTATTGTAGGTTAAGTCATATTGCAGAAATTTAACTGTTGATTTAATTAAGGAAGCATGAATTACGTCTCGGTGCATCTTCATGTCGAGTGTCTTAATCAGTTTGTGAATCAGGGTTAAGTGCCAAGTTTCATTGTGCATTTAAGGGTTAGGTGAATGGACTCTTACCTAGGGTATGCTCCTAAAACCTTGGGATGTTATACTGCAGAGATTAGGTAGATGGGTTCTTGTCTAGGGTGTGCTCCTAAAGTCTAGGAAACCTACACTGATGATTGGGTGGATGGGCTCTCACCTAGGGTGTGCACCTAAAATCTAAGAAGCCTACATTGAGGGCTAGGTGAATGGACTCTCATCTAGGGTGTGCTCCTAAAACTCTAAGAAGCCTACATTGAGGTCTAGGTGAATGGACTCTCATCTAGGGTGTGCTCTTAAAACTCTAGGAAGCCTACTCTTTAACTTATGCTTAAGATGATTTAAGATTTTCTATATCTTCCAATTAATTAAATCATCAATCCCCATCTTTATGACTTAACCATTGGAAAGAAACAAACAAAATAATAAAAAAAAGGCAGGTCGATCCACCCCAAAAACTAGCAACCAAAAGGGGAAAACAGAAAGTGAATCGGCCTTGAAAGCACTTCGATTCTTTCAACAACTGTAATTAAATAAATTCTCGAGAAGAGTGCTCAAGTATGTTCCAAGGCAGTGTTCTGATTGACCTAAAAGGTGTTTAAAGCCTTCTCCAAAACAAGTATTATTGCAAGCCCAAATCAACACGAGATTCATCACATGTTTGACCAAAAATTATACAATTGAAACCAAAATCTAAATTTATCTAATCCTACATGAAAGCAACCACAAGGTCATTTAAACTTTTAAATTGCCGAAAACATATAAAATGAATTTTCAATACTTTCAGGGCCATAACAACATTACATATACAAATAACTACAACATGTTGTCAATTAGCATCACCAGAAAATCTTCCCTTGATATCGTTCCAATCAATCCACAAGCATGTCACAAATTTAACTGCAACTGTCTAAGTTTCAAAAATATACATAACAACAATTAGGCAACTCGAAGAAAATCCGCGGCGTTAAATATCAAAACTTAAAGAGAGCAGTCAGCATTTTATAACATAGTTCACCGTTAAACTTTGATCAACAAAGAGTAGGAATCGAATCATTAACCCATTCCCTAAACAGAGAGGGAAACAACATAAGTTGAATAAAAAAAAAACTATCACAAATAGAAACACAACAACAAAAATAACAAGATATGGAGCCCAAATTGGACATAAATAAAATCCACAGAAAATATAAGTGTGTTTGGGATTTTGCAAGAACTCACAGAGAAGTGAACGGTCAGAGGATTAGGTTGGATAGGCGAAGCGTGCACAACTGACTTTCTGTTCCGATTGTCCAAATCATTTTCCTGCAGAGCTGTCGGCTGGGAAAGGAAGGGCTCCGGTTGGACCTCACCGAGGGAAGGAGGAAAAAGGGAAGTGCGACTGAATCTCGGGTCTTAGGTTCGATCGAGAGGTGAGGGAGTTGGAAGCTTCGATGCAGAAGGAAAGGCGAGAGCTTCGATGCAAAGGAGGGAGTCGAGCGGGTGAAAGCTTCGGTGCCGAAGGGAAGGCGAGAGCTTTGATGTAGAGGAGGGAGTCGAGTCGAGCGAAAGCTTCGACGCAAAGGAGAGGAGGCGAGCGAGGGCAGGCGAGCACGAAGAGGGAGTTGGGCAGCGATCGAGAGAAGGGGAAGGTATCGAATGAGGAGCCCGAATTCGTCGTGAGAGGAAGATGGAGTCGAAGCAGACGTGCGGGATCGACGCAGAGAGGAGGCGAGCGTTTCGGTGTAGGGAGGAGATGAGCGCGTGGGGAAGGAGGAGGCAGGGCGAACGAACGAAAAGAAGAATTGGGAGGAGCAGCTTTGGGGTCGCAGAGGAGGAGCGGTTTTGTCGTGTGGAGAAATGGGCGTGCGGGATCGAGCGTGAGGAGGAAGAGGGAGTCTGCGGCTTCGGTGCGGGAGATGGGATTGAGCAGAGAGCGGGGACGGGGTTTGCGGCTTCGGTTTGGTCGAGCGAGAACAGGAGACGAAGGAGATGAATTGTACTCGAGAGTGGAGGAAGAAGGCGGACTCTAAAGGAAGGCGAATGCTTTCAGTGGGATCTTGTATCCGGGAAATTGCAAAGGAACATTACAGGAGATGGGCAGGGAAATCAATACCTTCCATGCGCAGAAAAGAATTAGTTTTTATATGTGGAGTTAATGATATATTTGAAATTTGAAATTTGAAATCTGTGGGCTGAAGTAATTAGCCCGGGCTTAGGCCATATCCAACCCAAGTCAAACTCGAGTTGAACCTGGGTTCAGCCCGGGTCCGCTAAAAAAAATGCATAGATTTCCGTGTCATTTGTTTGCGCGCGTAACCCTAGCAATATGGGCGTCCTTCCTAGCTAAAGTCGATGTTCTGAACGCTTTGGTGTGGTCCATTTCGTTATCCGGGGTCGTCCGGACAAATTCACCGGTGGGCAAGTCAAATCAAGTCGAAGCCGTGTGTGGTGCAGTGATTGCGTGAATTGTGGTGTTCGCGAGTATTCGAGTCATGGCGGATTCATCTATGGCCGTTTGATCCTATGGAAACTCATTTTCGGGTACTCTATATGTTAGTCCTTAGCCATTGCAACTAAAAGTTAGTGCTTGGAACCACTCATGCGAGTTCTTCACAAAAATGAGTCAAGAAGCGATTTGAAGCTCTACGAGAGGTGGGCTCTATTACTAGTCCGCTAGGATGGTCAACAAGGAACTCCTAAGGCTAGATCATGGGTTATGGGAGTAGGAGACTAAGACCTCACTAAAAATGAGGTCAACAGCTGCATGTAAGACAACAAGAATGGACAATAAATAATGATTCATGAAGCTGGTCTTGAGTAGTTGGGATAAAGCTAATGATGATAAACTTGATGATGTTGATATTTCATATTTTTATTGCACATTATCTCCTATTAATTATAATTTTCATTGTAGTTGTACTTCGATTTTGAAATAAACTACAATAACAACAACAACAAGCCTTTATTCGACTAAGTGTGCTCAGCTATATTAATCATTATTCTCCATTGCGTCCTATTGAGTGTCATATTTTCATTTAATTTTAATAGATTAAGATCTTTTTTGTACAATATGCCTAAGTCTTTTTAGGTCTAATTTTTTTCATTCTTAACATAAGTTGAATCTAAAATATCTTCTCATAACCGGTTCATGAGATGGCCGACGTTTAATGTGACCAAATCATCTAGGATGACTCTCTGATCTTTTCTGCCACTATAGCTATCACTTATATATTCATTTCACATTTTGCCTCTACGTGTCAAGACACTCATCCATTTAAGCATTATCATCTCAACAACACAACTTTCTTTGATGCATCTCTTTTAAAGGCCTACATTTGTGCCATAGAGCATTGTAGGTCTCACAAATTTCTTTTAAAAATTTTCTTTTAAGTTGAAGCTGTACTTTTCTATCACAAAATAGGTCTGATGCATTCCTCTAGTTCAACCAACCAACTTGAATTCTACTAAGAACATCCCCATCTATATCACAATCACTTTGAACAATAGACCTGAGATATTTAAAAAGTTCACACCTTTTAATGATTTGATCACGTAGAGTTACAACTCTATCACTTGAGCTATTATTACTAAAATTACATTCCATGTTTTCAGTTTTAGATCTATTGAAATGAAGACCTTTATACTCCAATGAAGACCTCCATAATTCAATTTTTTCTGAATTCATTTTCTTGTCTTATCCATAAGAATGATATAATCAACGACCAGCATGCACAAAGATACATCATCCTGTAAATGTACAATATGAGCATCGATAACTGATGCAAAAAGATGTGTTTAAAGCTGATCTCAGATTTAGTCCAACTGAAATAGGAGAATACTTGGTCAATCCATCTTCTATTCGAACACAAGTAACAACTCTAACATACATATCTTTAATGATATGAATATAAGCCATATCAACACCTTTTTCTCTAGAACTCTCCAAAAAACTTCTCTTGGAACCTTATAGTAAGTTTTTTATAAATTAATAAAAATCATATATAGATCCTCCTTACTTTCTCTGTACTTCTCCATCAAACCTCTCAATAAATGTATAACTTCTATAGTAGACTTGCCTGGTATAATCCCAAATTAATTATGAGAAATCTTTGTATCACGTCTTATCCTAAGTTCAATTACCTTTTCCCATAGTTTTAAAATGTGACACTTCAACTTAATTCCTCTATAATTTGCACACTTCCGTGCATCTCCTTTATTCTTAAAAATGAGGACCAAAATACTTTTTCTCAACTCCTCAGACATCTTTTTAGTTTCTAAAATAATTTTAATGAGTTTAGTAAGTCAAGAAACTCTCAAATCTCCGAAATACTTTCACATTTCAATTGAAAAATTATCAGTTGCAACTGATTTTTGTGCATTTGATTTTTTTTTAAACCTCATTTACTTCTTTTTTATTAATGCGACAGTAAAAATAAAATGTTTTATTATTATTAACGATATTAAGATCACTAATGTCGATTGCATTTTTAAAAAATTCATTAAAAAGTTCACTAAAATAACTACATATGCTGGATATTCTTCTCTAAGAAAAATACTTTTTGATTTTCATATTTAATGTATTTTACTTGAATTAACTTTTTAATTCTCTTTTCTCTTTATTTGACTAATCTATATTTATATTATTTTACCATCTTTAATACCTAATCTATTATAATAATCACTAAAAATACAATTTTTAGCGTCACAAATTGTTCTCTTAGATTCTCTACCGACCACCTTATATTTTCTTAGTTCTCTAATTTTTTATATCTGAACTGATTTTTATAACACTTCTTATATTTTATTTTTTCTTGCGAATTATTATTCAACCATCAATTATTTTTATTTATAAAAACTTTTCATTTTGATTATCCAAATATATTTTTTGTCACTTGTTTAATAATGCTTGTTACTTTATCCCATATATAATTAGCTTCTTCATGAACATCCTAAATCTTGAAACCTTGAAGTTTACTTATAAAAATAATGTTATTTATTTCTTTGAGGCGCCCTCATCTAATTTTATGGCATTGTTTCATTGTATTCTTTATCTAATAACTCTTCATCTTATAATTCAAAACTAATAATCGATGTTGAGTACCTAAATTTTTACTTGGAATGACCTTACAATCTTTGCATTTTCGACAATCTATTTTTTTCATAAGAAGATATTCAATGTGTGTTTTATTATATTCATTTTTATAAGTACTAATATGTTCATCTATTTTTTTAAATAAAGTATTAGTGATAGCAAAGTCACACGCTAAAACAAAATTTAATATAATTCTATCTTCTCCATTAATCTTAAAGATTGTTGTTGATATTGAGATTTTTAGTGTTATAAGTGCTTGTGCTCCTCAAGTAAGTTTAAATATAAGTTCAAAAGAAAAATTCTGGAATAACCTAGAAGTATTAATAAAAAAGATACCTGTTGAAGAAAGAAATTTTGAAATAAATTAAAGTGTACATATTAGTTTTTATTATTTTCTGTTTGAAATCTGTTCGGGAATGTTTCCATCTGTTTTCAGTTTGGTTGTTTGTTTTTGGATGACATAGATAACACTACTACGTGGTAGTTTTAACTATGGTACTTTAATGCTGGTTAAGTTGAATATGATAATATATTGAAAAACTTATCGGATTACAACTTGAAAGAACACAGAAGAACACTCTTTATTTTATAAGCGAAGAGAGGACTCTGAATTTTCGATGTCTTCTCAATGCAACTTGAGAGCCTTTTATAGGCATCAAACACAAGACAAATGACCCTTTTGCCTTTGAAGGAATTAACGAGCATCATTTATTTTTGGGCATCTTGGGTACCCTTACATTATTGGTGGGGGGTCCCAACACAAACTTATAATAAGAGAATTATATCTCCCCTACATGACAGATGACGAATTGTTACATTTACATTGCTGGTGAGGGGTCCCACCATAAACTTATAATAAAAGAATTATTTTTCCATGATATGATATAAAACAAAAATAATTGTATTTAGGGGAGAGTGATCTCAGTGGAGAATCACTTTATTTAGTCAACTTTCTGCTGTTATTTTGGTGCGAAACGACCACCATTTGTTCCCAATTTCTGAATTAGCATCGTCCTCTTCCGAGTCTTTATTTTCTACTAACATAGCCATCCTCCGATTCAAATAATTTTTTAATTTGTTGTTCATATATTTGTTGCACTCGTTGTTTTATTTGTTCAGCGATTTCCCAAAGATATTTTCTTTTGATGGTGTCGCAGATTTCCTTTTGACAGAATTCTTGTCTGTTTGGTGGTTGATTGGTGTAAGTATTTGATTTAATTGCACAATTGATTTGAATTAATTTATCATTAATAATAATTGTCGACTACCGTTCGATAAAAAAATTCTAAATAAACATTTATTATTAAAATTATCTTGCCCATAAAACAAGTTCTAAGCGAAGATCCAAGGAATTTGTGCCTACTCACTCATACCATCAACAAGTAATTTCTATTTTATTTTATTGAGCTGAGGTGAAGTTTTAACCTATGCTGGATAAATTTTGGAGATTGTCTCCGGGAGCACGTCATTTGTAGCTCCGAATTTGTCCTACAAAGATAGAAATTATTGTGAAATCTCCTTATTAAGGAGTTCACGTATTAGAACAAAATTCCAAGAATATTTATCTTTTAGATTTAGAATTAAAAAAAACACGACTTATAGCTTAGACATAGGCCTAGTAATTAAAACAAACTAATCTTTTTTGATGAGTTGTTAGATTTACCACTTTAATTAGTTTAGTATGAAAAATAGTTAAATCTCATTCTTTATGATGTAAGATTCGATTAATCATTGTTTTGCTGTAAGAAATGAATTTGTTGGGTTCATTGAAATTGTGCTAAATTTTAACGCATTGTAACGGAGTTAATATTGCTTTGTAGGATTCTGAGGATTCTGAGAAGACCAAAATCCTGAGGAAAGACAATTGTGCTAAGATTTCATTCTTAGATTTGTCAGGGATCTGTTATATGATAATCTTCCAAATTAATTTTGATAATTTTCTCTCGGGAAGATTTTTGTATGAAATCAACAATTCTTTGATTTGTACCTTATAAGCTTTGCTTTCTGAGGCGGATGTCATTGAGCTTC